AAGGAAGACCCGGGGCCACAGCGTGACTCACTGGTTAGTAGATTAAAGAGTGCCAGAAAACGTTCGTGGGTACTGGAGCTCAATTGTCTATACTGTTAAATTATTAGAATGGTTCCTGGCACGAGTTATTCCAACCAGCCCTTCCCCAGACAGTTCCTAGGCACAGGCAGTTAAGCATGGACCAAAGACATTCCCAATAAGCAGTTTGCATGTGGTCACCTTTTTTGGGAGGCTGAGAATTTAATAATATGGACATAGACCACTCTGTACTTGTTGGTCTCGGTGCCAAAGGAACATTTCCTGTCCCATTTAATTTCCTAGCACAGACATAGCTGCTGTGTTACAGTCTGATCCCTGCTTTGTTCCTGTAGCTGTGCAACTGGGCATTGGTCTGTACTTAAAGTCTGTGGCAAACCGAAATGTAGTCTTTTGTGTCTATGTTACTCAACCCCATCCCTAAACCACTGTTTGTCTTTGTCTTTTTTGAACTGAATGCTATTCAGACAGCAGCTATATTTGGAAAGGGCTGCGTATTGTGCAGATCCATTTAAAGTAAGCAGTTATCCAAAAATGAAAATCTGCTCTGTAAAGTAAATGGAAATTAAATGAGACTGACACAATGCCTAGATCTTGTATTAACATTGCTAGTGAGCAGACACTTACCACTAATTCAGTTTTTCATCAGAAACAGGTACCATGAAGTGCAGGATTGAAACTCCTGGGGCTAGATGGTGCCAGCTAGCAACATCTGTCTGGTATAATAAGACAGAAAGCTTTATTTCAAAATGAAGCTCTCTTTCTTCTTCTGACTCTAAATCCAGCTCTTCCCTTGCTTCTCATTGAGCATATTTCCTTCTTTAGAGGGTCAGACACAGCCTCAGTAGACTTTTGCAGATTTTCTTTTCCTTTCTAATGCCTCTCATATACACATTTCATTTCTTTTCGTCATGAAGTGCTGCCTAAATCTATTGACATTTAAATTGTTAGAAGCAGTGATCTGCAGCTACTGATACAGTTCTTACTTGATATCATTCTATTTTATCTGGGTAGTGAAAACATAAAATGTGCACTGGAAAAGGAACAGAGTTACCTCTTTAGGTACATACTTCCTCCAGTATATGAATTATTCTCAATCTTTTCATATGTAGCTTGTTCTGTTAAATAAAAATGTATCTTCAGGACAGGTGGAGTAGGTTGAGAGGCTAAAGGGGGAAAAAATTTTTTTCTGGGGCATTTGCAGTTGGAAGAAAAGAGACAAGATTTGAAACTTAGGGATCTTGGAGGTGCAGAGGAGCAGATGGAGAATGTGATGAAAGGCAGAGCATGTGGGACGTAGCAGGGCAGCAGGCTGTCCACTCGGGCATTTGCACAGGAGTAACAGGGAATGGGGCACGTTTGGTGATGCTGTCAGGGTGGCCACTGGCTTGTGGCAGGAAGGCAGAGGCAGGAAGGGGAGAGAAACCAGGAGAGAAACTTCTTAGATGAGAGGACTAAAATGCAAAATGGTTGCTCGAGTCTGCAGCCTTCAAAGTATTTAGGAGTCTTGTACTGAATTTAGGATCTCCATCACCATGTGAGCATGAACTGCTTTTCCTACAGAACAGTCACCATGTGCCACATTTCATGTGTGTCAGATTTTCAGGAGAGACAGAACTTAAGTGAGATATGGTGATGCAGGTGCTCACTTTTTTCATCCTAAAAATGGGACTTCATCAATCAGCTCCCTATCATGTGTGCTATCGCTCAGGGACACCCAGGTCTCCCTGGTGGTATGGCTTACCTAAGTAAAGCATTTTTCCACTCAGAACTGTGTTAAAGAGGAAATGATGATGTGGTTGTTCAGCCTCACCATATCCTGTGTTCAGAATAATTTTCATTTCTACTTCTTTACAAATGTTCATGGAGTGTCCACAAATATTTTCTTGGTTTCTATGGTAAGAGAGAGTGTGAAACTGTGTCAAAACCACTGCATCATGTGCATCATCCTGTGCATTTCAGGAGAAGACCATGACCACAGGAGGAGTCATCTCTGGCATTTCTTGTGTGCAAACTGACATTTAGTACATTTTGATCCCTTTCGGGTTCACATTTTGAAGCACAGACTTGCATGTTACAAACTGTAAAGGTTACTTGATCGCTTCCATAATGACGCATTAATGACAGAGTATATCAAAACAGCTCGACACAGGTTACTTCCTCTCTGACTATAACGCAGTTAGGCATTAGCTGAAGTTAAACTATAAGTCTTTGGAAATCTTTTTTTTTTTAAAGGTGTAAGTTTCCAAATTACTCAAGTAAAATCTCCCAGTCCCCTGTGTATGCATGCATGGAGTGTAGCAGGGTGCAAATGCTTGAGGAACTGTGCCAGTAAGGGGTCACATGGGAGAAGCAGCCATCGTGCTTCCGCAGCTGTCTGAAAACAGCAGTGTTCTTCTGGGCAGGCACAGGGACCGGGCACGACCCACAGTGCTCCTCTCAGGAGAGGAGCAGAGCTGTCCTCTGCCACATTTCCCTGGAAAGGATTCCAGTTTGGGGTGTACATTGTCAGCAGTATTCAAATGGTCTCATCACCGTGCATCCCCCAGTTCTTTGCCTATGAGAGTGCAAAGCCCTAATGGTGCAGGGCTTGTGGAATTGGGGAGATTTAATCACCCTTACGCTCCATGTGAGAAGAGCCGTATGGATCTCAAACTAGAAATCGTGGGGTTTGGTGGTATTCCCACAGATCAAAGATCACACAACTCTTCCTCCTGACACTACACCCAGCCATTAACAAACAGTAATGGATTGAAATTGTTATATCTAATTTCTCAAAGCAACATTTCTTCAATAAGCTTTTCCACAAATGTACTGAGAGACCAAAAGTGCAGTTCAGCTTGAGAGGTACATCTGCATTAAGAAAAATAATGTGTTTTAGAAGGAATTCTATCTGACTCAGATAGGGCAGCTCTGGAGAGAATCCCTGACCTTCAGTTACCTTTGTCATCTTTCTCTTGAGTGAATCTCTAAAGAAATTTCTCTGTTTTTTATAGAGAGAAGTGTTTTTGAAAGGCATCACTGGCATGGTAGCAAATCAGGAACAAGATAAATGGAGCTAAATAATGCCCAGCTTCCACAGAAGAATCTGTTTCTGTGGACAGGTATCTGGAAGTGTAGCTTGCCAGTGCAGTACTTTGCACTGTGTTATTGAACTGTTTCAAAGACAGATTTTATGAATAAAGATCAAAGTGTTTGAAAGAACTGTTAGCAAATATGACCACTTGTGCAAATATCCGTGAACCTCCCTTCAATAGCCATTCAGTGGTTCCAAAGGCTGTCAGGGCATGTAATGATTATAATAAATGTTGTATTTGCTTTTGTTTCAGCTGGCTTTGACCAGCAGATTCGGCTGATTACTTCCATTGTTATTTTTCCTTAGAAGACAATTATATTGTTATCATAAAAAGCCCACTATTCATACACATTTCTTTGTATTGGTCTTGAAATTCAGAACTCACTATCCTAGTTAACATAATTTTTAAAGTTATATTAATTCTTATGTTTGTTTCTGTCCTTGTTTCTTTTCAGTGTTTTTGCTTTGTTTCATTCTCTTCCTGAATACTGCTTTTCCCACCTTTGTGTTTGTTGGAGAAACAACCCAATAATTGCTGAGACCTTCCCAGCCCCCAGATAAATAGTCAAAGGTTTACATTATAGCACACACTGAGAAAATATTGGTACTTAGCTGATGGTCTTGTGTTGTTATGGCTGGATTATAACTGCATTCAGGAGCAGAATGCTCTGGGGCTCTCAGATTATATTCTAGCAAGATAATAGCTCACACAGTACACTGCAGAAGCTCCTTGTGTTCTTCTGCAGATGTCCTGGAGATACAGTCACCCTCATCTGTATTTGGTCTACTTGTGGGAAACAAAAGGATAAATATAAACTGTCCCGTCTCTGTTGTGAGTCCAGCAGGACTCATCAAAGTACATCGATAAAGCAGTGCCAATAAAATTCCCACTGGGTCTCTGCAGCATGTTGTGACATAACCACTGAGACAAGAACAGCCTAAAAGCAGGCGCTGTACATGGCATATGTCCGTGGGAAAGAGTATGTATTGTAAGAAAATGTATTTGAAAATACATTGTGAGAGAAGTTAGTGCTGGTCTAACCAACAGCACGTGGGCACAACTGTAAAGGTCAGGAATCTGCCAGGAATTCCTGTGCTGTGTTGTTTAGTTGAAAACTGAGAGTTTAAGGTTCCTCTGTGTGCAAGGAAACCACAGTAGACAGCACTTATGCCTTTGGTAAGGGACAGCTTTGGGAAAGGTTTGGCTCAATCTATATCCAACTGGTAAAAAAATAAGTTATAATTTCTTCAGTTTCTTCAGAGAGAACTTTTGAGGCAGGTCAGACATGTTTACCCTGATTGCCCCATGCCCTTGAGTTGATTCCATTTCTTTTACAGAAAATAGTACATAATAAAGGGCAGAGAACAGATATGTGCTACAGGTTCTGATTTGTCCTATGGGTAAACTCACAGTAGCTTGTTTTTTTTACAGTTTGGCTGACTACATATAAAGGGTCCACAAAAGTTGTTTTAACAAAACAGGGCTTTGTTCAGTAGACTAACATTTTCTCTATGGAGAGTCCACATCTCCACTGGAAAGTGTTTGGGATCTGTAAGCTGCAAAAGCTTCAAAGAGTTTCTGATAGTGTGCTGTGGTATTGAGATGTCACACCAGGGCTGTACTCTGATACTGTAGTTTTCTTGTACCCTGAACCGCACTGTTCTTGACGAGAAGTGGTCTCACTTCCTGAGTCATCATCACTGCAGCTATCCTTACTGAGATTTTCCATACAGGATCCTTTTCTATGTGATGGCCAAACCCATTTGCCCTAATATGTGAGTTTTTACAACACGGATTAAACTAAATGGAAGCTGTGCATACAACACTCATGAGGTTGTAATTCTATGGTTGAGCGTGATCTCTCTTCTGTTCCTTTTTGTTTTACAGGTTGTTACTTTGTGGTATAGAGCTCCTGAAGTCTTGCTTCAGTCCAGTTATGCAACGGCAGTTGATCTTTGGAGTGTTGGCTGCATATTTGCAGAAATGTTCCGTCGAAAGTAAGAAACACAGTTTTATTTTCTTCATGCTTTTCATTTGAAAAAATGCGTAGTAATGCCTGTTGCAGTACACTGAATCACATTTACATTGGAAAGGCCTGATAGGATGTCTTATCTACCGTGCAAAATATAAATGCCCCCTGGAAATTCGTACTTGTTGCCATCTTGGAGTCTCTTTTGATGGGAATCTGCCTCAGCTCTTGGTAAAGCCTTTACGAACATTGTTGTATTCCTGTTGCACCTGAATCCAAATGCAGATAAAAGTGGGGAAGAGAGGCTGTTACTGATTTGAGTAGAGCTGTATTGTGGGAAGGATTTACCCTGAGGAAGATGGAACACTGTGTTCAGCACAGTCTTCTTCCTCTATAGTTTGTGCATTGGTGCATCAGGTATTGCCTTGTAGTCCCCTCTTGGCATATTTGAGATCTAAGAAGTCACTTTAAAGTTTTCCCTAGAGGTAGGGAACAGAGGTAGGATTTTTTAAGGGCAAGTTATGTAGCCTGAGGGTAGGGTAACAGAGATGTTAAATGTAGTCAAACACCACCCCCCACCCCCCATCTTGCTGCAAAGTATTACAGCTGGAGGCAGATGAGCTGTGAATGCAAGAGGAGCTCTTGTGTACTGGTTATTCCCCATTGAAAAGACACTAGTATGAAGGTTGTACCATGTAGGGTGTGGAGAGGAACAAACCTGCAAAAATTTTAACAAGGTAAACCTGTCTTGCTGTTAAACCAATTTACATGCATTTGGATTGAGCTTATGGCAAAATGTGCACATTGTCATCACCTGGGTGATCTCCATGTAGAAATTGAATAGCGTTTTGTAACACCCACTGCGAAGTCAAAGAATATACAGAAAGAAAATGGGAAAGAAAAATATACTCTGTGTGGCCTAAAACCCAGAATCAGTACAATTTACAGGGAGAAGCAGTACTGCAAGGGCCTTGAGAAACAACTATTTAATTTATACAATGTGAAGTTCAAAATACTTGAATAATTGAAGTCTTGCAAAATAACTTTGGGATTTCACTACTTACTAATATTATATGGAAAACTCATTTTTCTTGGGCTTCTTGCCTGGTCAGATGGCCTGGGTAGAGTTATTTTACTCCAGCCTCTCTGTCTCTGACTTAGAAATGAGGTCAGAAAAAGAGATAAAAAAAAAGAATGTGGATTTTAGGAATATCAGTTAAACCCTCCAGTGCAAACTTTTAAAGATTCAGTCTTAGCCCGTATACTGACAGATTCACAGTAGTGTTAAGCTGCTGACAGTTTTTCTGATTCAAGCAGCAGAATCAACAGCTTCATTTTAGCATTTGCAGTAAGAGTGATACAGGACAAACGAATGCAGAACTTCATTACATGCTCAAAACTCTTTTTTTTTTCCTCATATAATTTGAAGTATTCTGCCAGATAAGAAATATTGCCATATACAAGCACCACCAATTCAATTTCATTTTTCCTCTTTAAAGATGTTTGAGCCTTGCTGATTCTCCAAATCCAACAGAGTAAATTAAATTAGAGGCAGTTAAATTTTCTACCTGTATACAAATGCAAATACTACATTAATATGACAGAATCAGAGCTTTTTTCTTTAATGGAAATGAGATCTGATTTGAACCAGAGTTTGATAAAACCAGGACTTCCATTTTTCTCACCAAATGTAGGGTCAGTCTGACATTCTCAGTCTTAAATTTGGGTGACTGTCAAAAACTGTAGAGGTCAGGAATCTGTCAAGTCTGTATGTACTATGTTCTTTCATTGCAAACAATATGACTTTCACATACTTAAGTGTACAAGCATGATTTTGAAGACTGTTCTCAAGGCTCTTTGCCATAAAGCTACAGTGAACAGCACTGAATGTTATCTCCATGGACTGTTGTGATGGGTTAATGTTGCAATACTGTCTTTGTGATATATGTTGTCTTTCTGATTCTCCTGATGGATTGCAAAAGAAAACCCATGTTCTTGTGACCTTGGTAGCAATAAACTAACATTTAGCAAACTCCGAAAGATTGAATAAATGCAATAGCGATTTTGCTGGAAAATGGTAGTGCCCTTGGGTAATCACCAATCTGTATTTCCACTGGTGTTGATAGGATAAGAGTATGAGAATGCAGCAAAAGCTTGCCTTGTAGACTTGGCTTTGGTATTAAGACCACCTTTTCTTTTTTCTGTCTTACTGGGTAATTGCTGCTTTCCTTCCCTACTCTCTTTTGCTTTCTCTTTGAAAGAACTTGAAGCTCTTCAGTACGTTTTTAAGAAATGTACTGAAACTCCACTGGAGTTTCTATTTCCCAGAGTTCTTATATCCCACTTGAACGGGTTTCAAAATAAAACACTACACAGCATCACAAAACACATCAAAATCCTGTTTATGTCAAGGAGGCAGTTGACAGTTTGATTTTGCTTGAATATAGTTTTATATATGTTTGTGTTACAAACACCGTGAGGGTGCTGTAGGTTTGGACAAGTGTAGGAGTGAGGTCTGTTTGAATGGTCCAGTCCCTGTGTTACAGATTGCTGTGTCTCTTGAGTGGAAGACATGTCATTTAATTTAAATCACTCTTAATCCAAAATAGTTTAAGACAAATGCAAACAAAACATTTGTTTAAGAAGCAGATCCGAAATCCACAGAAGTTTATAAAGGACTTAGACACAAAAAATAAATAAGTATATCTCTGTCTAGACACACCTAGAGTAAATTTGAACATTTTTCTCATCTTGGCTGCTTCAGTTTAAAAATGACACTTCTCAACTCTGTTCTTCCTGCAATCTGAGTTTTGTATAAAGTTACAGCTACTTTTGAAACACACATTTTAATTTTGATGCAGTTTTGTAGGCTTTACACAGATGAATGCATAAACGTTGTACCCTGAAACTCCTCAGACACATTCCCAAGGATTCTGCTCTACTTACATATCAGCAAGAAATTGCTCAATAGTCAGGTGGATGTGTTATATACAGAGAAACTATTCTGCTTTATGTGTCTTTTTCTGTCCGTGTGCACTGCTGATGAGACCACCCCCACATAAAGCATCATGTGGATGAATTGTCATTATCTAATGAAAGTGTAAATGTAATTGTTGTAGTGACTGGTTTTTTTGTGATTTAAAAGCTATGGTGCATGGATAGGAATAACCAGTAAGGAAAACTGTAAGGTATGCTATGGCTTGCTACCATATCACAAAATCCTTCAGAGACAGAGCTGGCAGGACTGACAGGGGTCTGATGGCATGGCAGCATCCTTTGGCACTTTTTTTTTTTTTTTAATGTTTAGATAAAAATAAGGATCACTGAGCATTTTCCAGGCCAATAGGAAAGGGCTTTGTACCTCTTACTCAGTGAACACCTCATTAAAGAGAAAGGCAAACATGGGAGTAACATCGACTTCTGTCTGGATACACGAAACTCTTCCAGCTGGCTCAAGGGCTGCAGGCAGCTCCTAAGCAGGAAGCCATGACCAGGGTTTTAGGGGAGAAGGGACTGTCTGTCTTGTTGCTTGGATTAGGTAATACCTAATCAAGGTGAATGAGAGTGTAAAAGGGGAAAAAGGCTGGAATCTGGGTGAAATGCTCTGTAAAAGGAAGCTCGGGTCACCAGTCTTGGATTCTCTTCTGAGAAGGGAGTCTTGAGTCTTGAGAAAAAATGTCAAAATGTTTTGATGCTTAGGTCTTGTCCCTCTGTACTTAGCACTGATGAGACCACATTTTGAGTCCTGTCTTCAGTTTTGGGCCCCTCACTTCAAAAAGGGCATTGAGGTGCTGGAGCATGTCCAGAGAATGGCAACAAAGGTGGTGAAGAGTCTAGAAAACATGTCCTATGAAAAGTGGCGGAGGGAGCTGGGGTTAGTTAGCCTGAGAAGAGGAGTCTCAGGGGGGACCTCATTGCTCTCTACAACTACCTGGAAGGAGGTTGTAATGAGGTGGCGGTCGGTCTGTTCTGCCATGTCTCAAGTGAAAGGATAAGAGGAGATGGCCTTAGGTTGCACCAGAGGAGGTTCAGATTAGATATTAGAAAAAAGAATTCACTGAAAGAGTGGTCAGGCATTGGAACAAGTTGCCCAGTGAGGTTGTGGAGTCACCATCTCTGGAAGTGTTGAAAAGCCATCTGGATGTGGCATTTGGGGATATGGTTTAGGGGTGATTATGATGGTGCTGGATTGACAGTTGGATTAGATGATCTTGAGGGTCTCTTACAACCTTGATGTTCCTGTGACTGAGATGGGGGACTCACCTGCCCTGACTCGAGAGTGAAGGAAGAGCAGCCAGCTCTGCAACTGAAGTTTCAGTCAGTGCTTTGTATGATGAAGATGGTCAAGTGGTAGCAGAAGAAAACAGCCAAGTGTAACAGCAACACCTGTTTTTTAAGCTGTCTTCAAAACCTGAAGCTGGATAGGACAGTTTCAACTTTGCCACTGAGTGAAAAGAGTAACTCTTTTTAGCAGATTTGTGTGGTAAAGTCTTGGGTTTACTGAAGTCATTGTTGAAATTAACCCTGACTTCAAAGGGAATTGTTATCTCTCTAGAAAGAATTCAGTGTGACAGAGTGGCACAAAGAGTGGCAAAGCTCATTTGGTCTGAATTAGCTGTTTCTGTAGGTGCTAATGTCTCACAGATATAGTCTTTAAAGGTCTCACTTATAAAAAATTAGGTATACATATGGCAGCGAGTGTTCAACAGCAGAGCCACAGATTCTCAGTGGCCTCAGTGTGTTCTTCATCTAGAAAATGAAGCAAAGAGGACAGTGGGCTTTGGGGGAAATTATTGACAGAAGTGCTGCTATGGCAGAGAATTGCTTGGAAGTTTGAAGTACCATGTCCTCTACTCCAAATATATCCTGGGTTAGTCATTCCTTGTGATGAGTTGGTTTGCTGTTGAATGGCCTTAAGGAACAGTCAATCTGTAACTTTGCAAATGCATAACTGACAGGAGGGTTTATATGTGCTAAGTGACCCTCACTTCAAATTAAGTAACAGTATGTCATCACTTTTTTCCCATT